TGTAGCGCACATAGCCACTGCCTTATTAGGGTGATGCTTCTCAATGTATGATGCAACAGTTTCCCATGCTTTCAGCATTTCTCTTATTGTGCCAGAAGATTGTTGCTTTGCTGTTACCTCCTCCTCCTCTGACAAACTCTACTCCACAACTTCTTGCTGTGAAACACAATGCAACTCCAAATCGTGCAAATCGTTGCTGTAGACTGATTGTATGTGTGTGCTACATCAGCCACGCTCACATATTGTTCTCGCTTTTCAATGATTTTATGTTTCATTTCTACGGTTATCTTTATTCTCTTATGGTTGTCTTTTTGCGGCATTTTCTTTGGGGACATTTTTGCAAGGGTTAGTAAACTTTGCACAAAAAAGAATCACAAATAATATGTCTGAACACAAGGTGGGAAAAAATGTGTGATCACAAGCGACACTTAAGATGCTAGCAGAAAGAGTGCTAAGCACAGACTGATGTAGCAGCGCACAATCCAGGACTTACCTTCTCGTCACTCGTTACACAAAACGTTGCTCGTTAAGTGTGTCATTTTTTTACAATTTGTTTTGCTCATTATGCAAATTACTCGTTATGCGAGGTTCCACTGTACTAGTCCTACTCATTAAATCTGGATTGTGATAAAATAATAAAAGTGATAAATCTGTAACCATGAAAATTAAATCCTTCTCATCAAACTAACTTGAATGCACTCAAGTTCTAATTATGGAAACATGATAAGGTACTTAAAATGAAAATGGAATTCTAATATTAGACATAAAGTCTTAAGCGACTGGATGGACTGCTTACAGTACCTCAGCTGTACTTTAAACTGCCACTTTTGTTGCAAAAACACTATATAAAAGAAAATATCTGAAAACAATGAAGTAAATATGATATTATGAACAGTCTATGTATCTAATTTATATGGCAGAAGTTATTTTTAGAAATTGTCAGATTCATCATTGAAAGTAGACAACAGCAAAGGGAATACTACCAGACATCTTTCATGTTCAGTAAGATGGGTTTACATCATATTTTGTCAATTTTCATCTAGGTCAAAAATACATTCACATCCAAAAATAAGAAACGAAGTGATTCACAATACAGACTTTTATTTCAATATATTTAATTACAATTATCTAGTTCTGTACCAAACACAAAGCACTGAAATGCTAAAAATTAACACAAAAATTCATAATGAGGTCAGCATGGATTAAACAACCCAATTCTGACTTGCATCTAGAAGCTCTGAGCAGCCATGTCTCCCACATCAATTCCTAGCAAGGCCAACTCATCTGCACTCATTCCTCCTACTACATCTTGTTTCTTCAGGGGGATCTCTTTTTTCAGATTGCCTATTTTTGTTTGGATTCTATTTTCTTTTGGTAGGGGAGGTCTTGATTCATTCTGATGTGAATGCATGGTTGGACCATGGGACTGTGGACTACCATGAATCATATTTGGTTGAAGAGGAGGAGGACCTTGCATACCTGGTGGTCCCATCATGGGTCTTGGAGGACCATGCATACCATATGGAGGACCTGGACCAGGCATACCAGCAGGGCCATACATGCCTGTAAGCCCTTGTGGCGGTCCTTGCATATTGGGAGGTCCTTGAGGTGGTGGACCCTGCATCCCATGCATAGACCCCATCATTGGAGGGCCACCTCCACCCATCATCTGTGGAGGAACCTGGGAAGAACCACCATAACCCTGCATTGGATGTGAGGGTGGTCCATGGCCTGGCATCATAGATGGGCCCCCCATGGCTATGGCTTGGGCCCACTGACCTTGGTTCATTTGGGATGCATTTGATAGCATAGATGGAGGTTTAGGACCACTCTGAATCACAGCTGACTGGGATGAAACAGAACTAATAAGAAGAGAGTCATCCTTTTTCTCTGCTCCTTCTGAACCTGGGAACAATATATTCAAAGCATCTTGGAAGTCTTTAGGAAGTGGAATGTCTGTAAGAGGCTTCTTAGGAGATGACTGTTCACTACTCTGAATATCAGCAGAGGGAGATGTTTCTATAACCGGATGAGCAATATCACTGTTTGACGTGTCATCATCTATTTCCATGTCCTGCACTTCATTTACAATTAGAGATTCTTCTGGTTTAGCATCTTCATAACCAACTGCGGCCTCTCCAGTTTCAGAATTACCAAGTGATGTTGGTATTACCAGATTTGGTGGCAATTTTGGTCCCATGAACTGTAACTCTAGTTCTTCAGCACCTTGTGGTTTCTCATCAAACCTCGATTTCCGAGGTTCCTGGGGACCAATGTGAACTTTTCCACCTATATTAGTGAATTCCAACTTATACTGTGCTTGTACCATAGGATCTTCTGGAGGCTGTTTCTTGTCTTCCTCCTCAGCTTTGTTATCACCAGACTTCCCACTCAGAGGAGCTTTCTTCTTTGCAAAATGTTTTAAGATTGGCATGCGACCAATAAAGGGTAATTTAGATTTTGGTATTGCCATTACTGCAGGTTTCTTGCCTTTCTTCATGAGTTTTGCTGCAGACTCTGCTGTCTGCTTCTCAAATTTTGATTCAGCACTTTCTTCCTCATATTCCTCATCTCCATCTTCCAATTTTGTTGCAGTCTTCTTTTCAGTTTCTGATCTTTTATCTGGAATTCTTCCATCTGCTTCTTTTGGTTTCTTATCAGTCCTAGAACTTGAACTTTCATGTCGTGAAGGACTCCTTTTCGACACACATTCGGGAGACTTATGAGATCCCTCGTATCTGTCATATCTTTCAGCTCTTGATGATCGTTCTCTCCTATCATCAGGCGACCTGTCACTGCCACGCAATCGTTTGCTCTTGTGAGATGGGGTCAAAGGACTCTCACTTCGCCTCCTGCTTCGTTTAGAATCCCGTCTGTCCTCATGGTATCCCTTGCCATCATCGTAATTTTTATCTCTCTCATCCTTCTTTTTCTCATGATCCCGTTCCTTCTCTGCTACCTGCTTCTGTCTCAGCTTATCCTTGATGCTGTTTAACAGCTGCTTCTCACCATCTGATACATCCTTTGATGTTGACATCCATTCTCTGATTAACTTATCATCACTATTATTGCTACCACTTTTCTGGCCAGCTTTCTTTGACTTGTGCTCCCTTTCTTTTCTTTCTATTCGCTCTGTCTCCAATCTTTCCCATTCATTTTTCTTCTCTTCATTTATCTTACCTGTTCCAATCCTCTCTCTCTCCTCTTTTTCTCTGTCTTCTTTCTCATCACTCACCTTTTCTGGTGAATCCCACTTACTCCTAGGGGCTTTAATAAAGGGTATTCCGAGCGGTTCATCTGATACTGGTTGCACTGGCAAAGCCTTTGTTTTCTTTCTCATGGCAACACGAATGCTTTTTGACCTATCCTCATTTTCAAAATCACCATCTTGCTCATTACTTGAGGAACTGCTATTGCTAGTAGTGCTGCTACTTGAACCTGAACTGTTTTCTGAGGAATCACATAGTTTCTTAGACTTAAATTTCTTTTTTCGATGTTTGTTCTTCTTCACCTTTTCATCTAAAGCAGTTATACAGGTCTTCTTTAATTTCTTATGCTGGTCTTTGTTCTTCTTGAGTTTCTCATTAGATTTAGCTTCTTTAACAACTCCTTTAGCATCCATGTAACCTGTGAACTGTTTTGCATCTGAAGGTGCTAACAATGATAATGGCTGATCTGCACCAGGTGGTAACAGACCCTGTTCTTCCCTTAACCGATGCCTCTCTTCTGAGCAACGTTCATAGGCTTTCTCTCGATCAGCCAGCCAGTCTGTTTCCCAGTGAGGGTTCTGCTCTGTGAATCGCTGAAAAAGAAAAGGAATATGATTATTTACTTTAACCTCAGGAAAAAACAATATTCAATCACAACCATTATCACTGTTTTTAATGTGGTAATTCTGATGAAATGATATGAACACAGAATTATGGTAACTTGCTTCAGTCTATATGTTTAAAATAACACATGAACTGTAATTTGTGTTATGTAGTTCATGCAATTTACGACTTTCTACTCAGTCAAGAAAAATGTGTGGAAAAAGAGGTTCCACTCCATTTGCACTGCTTTACACACAACTTTGGTAAAGTCTTATTACCTGGCTGTTACAAGTACGCCCATATAATTTAAATCTAAATTAGCACTTTCTTGAACACATAAACAACCAATTCATTTCACAATAAAATTCTAAATTTCAAAGACTGTGCATATGGTGTACTCCATTAGAAGCTGATGAAGGCCAAGATTAAGCACCAAATCATTATGGTGTGTAGGGAGAGCAGAGGGTATTTTATTCTGAACTTTCAGCTCTTACTGTATACATTTTGGATGGGTTGCAATATGGTTCATGAAGAAATTCAATCTGCAGCAGTATTTGGCTAATAATATGACTAATGATATTTTATTTTTCATCCATAATATGAAGAAAGTAGTAATTCAGAAAGGATGGTAAAAGAAGATAATGCAAGATCTGGAGTCCCCCAAGTACATTATTTTGTATTTTCAATTACTATACTTACAACTGGTTATGAGACATTTTGACCAATTCCACATTCAGGTTCATGTGTGTCCTATTATCTTGAGAACACTATCAGAGTTCAGGATATCATGTCCAAATCAATTATTATTATTATTTCTTTTGGTATGTGTATAAAGTACTTCCAGACACTGAAAATAACTGACAACTATTTACCAGTTTCTGAATTACACAATTTTTTTGATGGGTTCTCCAACCTGTGCTTACTTTGAAATAGGCTCAATCAGACAGAGTTAAATCTGCACAGAGAATACAAATGCTCAGTGAAATTCCTTCATAGTTTCTTGCCATGACTCAAGAAATTTGAAAAGTAAATTGACAATTTAATGAACATCAAGATTTACGTGGCAGGTCACCTGCATAATTGTGAGACTCAAATACAGCATGCTATGATGGGAAGGGCATGTGGCTAATATGAGGTAGATACGAAGGGGGACCCAAAAATAACCGGAAACGACCTGTTGCGCGCGCATGCTTTGTAGTTACGAGTTGTGCTGCTAGGTGGTGTTAGCTGGGGGTCTCCCGCGACTGTTAGTGAGCTGGCGTCATTGTGACTTAAGTGGTTTGTCTGTGTTGCTCTGTTGTGTGCGTTCCTGTTTCAACCCTTTGGCGATTAGTGAGATGGCCGACCAGAAGGAACAAAGAGTGTGCGTGAAATTNAGATCGTTCTGCACTTCACTCTTCAAGTCGTCTTCAAGTCGCGGAAAACACTCACGCGGTTTTCTCTTTGTTCATCTCCGAGCAAGCGAGGAACAAATTTTGCAGACACCCGTCTCATGTGCAAACCTTCGGTTAAAATCCGCTGGACCGTGATCCACGAGATGTTCGTTTCCTCAGAGAGTTGGTCAATGGTCTTTCGACGATCTTCATCAATTTCACGCACACTCTCTGTTCCTTCTGGTCGGCCATCTCACTAATCGCCAAAGGGTTGAAACAGGAACGCACACAACAGAGCACCACAGACAAACC